AGACATTTTGACGAGGGACTATTTGGGCCTGTGCCGAAGACTTGGTGTTGACGACATTCCCATCTTCCCCTCGTCTTCGTCTAACCCCCCTCTTCTTCGTCTGTGTATGGTGGGGGCTGGCGCATTCTTCCTGTGTGAGCGCCAGACCCCTTCACACCATGAAATGATGATGATGATGTATGTTCGGGGCTGCATTGCAATATTGATTGTTCGGACCATTGGTATCTATGTTTTCCGCTGCGCTATCTTGTACTTTGTATTGAGAGGTCGGTTCTTGTTCTGGTCTGCACCGTTACAGTATGCAACAGTTTGGTATCGGAGCGGACCTCTCATTCAGAGGACCCGCTCAATCAAGTAGCCAGCTTGCTTGATCTATTGATTATTCATTAGTAAATCAAGTAGGACTTCGTCAAATCTCTGGAAAAAAAAAATTCTCGCAACAACTATCTGAAAATTTCTGATAATCGCATTTCGTTTTACCTGAAAATTTCTGATATTAGTATTTCGTTTTCGCACAACAAATATCTGAAAATTTCTGATAATCGCATTTCGTTTTATCTGAAAATTCCTGATAGTAGCATTTCGTTTCTCTGATATTTGCATACATAGCTGAAAATTTCTGATGTTAACATTTCGTTTTCTAGGCATATTAGGACAACGATAGAAGTGGTCATATTCTCGGAAACCGGATTTATTCTTTTCTGAAAATCGAATTTCCATTCTATCTCGCAAATTTTTTTTTGAAAACCGAAATCCTGCAAAGCCTACCAACATTTCGTTACGCATATTCGGAGGTTGCCATATTCTCAGAAACTGGATTTAGTTCTTTTCTGAAAACCGCATTTCTACTCTATTTTGCAATTTTTTTTTTTCAAGATCGCATTTTGTGAAAGCCGAAACTTTGCGGAACCTAGCCTAGATCTCGCTCATAGTACTCTTCTGACATGTCTCACTCGTAACAGATCGACAGATATACAAAAAAAAAAAAAAAAGGAAGTAGTCCTCTTTTATTTTTTTATTTTTATCTGTTGATTAGGGCCGGGAGGAAAGTATTGTTGGGTTGGTTCCGTACCTGCGTTTTCCCTCCCACCCACCCTTTTGCATGCATTTCCGGGTTGGTACAGTGCCACGTCAGCCACAATGCCACGTCAGCAGTGCCACATCAGCAACAGTGCCATGTCAGCAACAGTGCCATGTCAGCAACAGTGCCACGTCAGCCACAGTGCCATGTCAGCCACAGTGCCACGTCAGCAGTGCCGCGTCAGCAGTGCTGCATCAGCAGTGCCGCGTCAGCAGTGCCCCACCACCATGATGGGCTCAGTTTTGGGCATGCCAGGCCAACTGGCAAATGAGTCCATTGCCAAGTACCGACAACGTTTCGAAACTCAGCTCGCACTAATCGCGGCTGAGGAACAACGCCAGCTGGCAGCCGAGGCTGTCCGCCTACAGGCTGAAGCGGTGGCAACAGCTGAGAAGCGGCGGCTTCAGGCCGAAGCAGACGCAGATACCCAGGCACGCCGCAAGGAAGCCCAAGATCTGCTACAACGGCATGAAACCACCAGCATTGAAAGACTCAAGTTTTGGCATTTTGAACCATCCAAGGAGCACGACGACGTGACACCGGAGGAACAGCACAAGGAATTCATGGCCAAGCTCATGACCAGGTTGGTTTACACTTGTAACCACCTGCATCTGAGCTGACGAATCTCCGACGGGCAATGCAGAACCACAAGGATCTGCACGAGGATGCTACACGGGCACTTCATTCCCGTGTACAGGAATTGGAGCAAGTTGCACCAAGACCGAATGCTGGTGAGACCAACAGTGCACCCTCTACCCGCCAGTTGGAGGAACGAGTTGACCACGTAGTCGCAATGCTCGGCGACATCAGTACCTTCGCTGCACCAGCCACCATCAGCAACCAGCTGGACACCTTGAAGACCGAGGTTCAGCAACTGCACCAGCTGCCTAACAAGGATAGCAACGCCGTGCAACACTACAAGATGCCGACATTCCAAATCGAGAAGTTCGATGATTATACGCATCAAGACTCGGTCCTCTGGTGGGAGGGCTTTACAACGCAACTTCGGATTCTGTTCGTCGCCAAGCAAGCGTACATCGGCTCGATGTTCCTCAACTCAAAGGGTGGATGCCAGATCTGGTTGAGCCACTTGGCAACCGTCCATGGCATCGACATCGCAAACCTGAAAGATAAGATCTCTTGGGAAGAGTTAACACGGCTATGGAAGAAGCGGTTCATCGTGGACGACGCCCCAATGCTCGCCATCAACCGCCTCTTCGCTATGACGCAAGGCAACACATCGACACGTGACTGGCTCACGGAATGGCAAAAGATTGCGGCAACGCCCGATCTTGACTTGCCATTTTCGCATCTGCGTCGTGAGTTCTACAACCGGTCATGTGCCGCCTTGAGCCTTGCACTTGGTGATCGCGAGCAATACGTGACCTTCACCGAAATCATCGACAAGGCAAGGGAGATCATCAAGACCAATGAGGCAGCTGCACATGAGAAATCAGCATGGCAGCCAACCTATGTGGAGAAGGTGAAAACTGGTCCGTGGCCGCAGCATGGCGCTGCAGTCCAATCAGACAACATTGTGGAAGACCCGGCAGCCACCCAAGCGTCACGTGAGGGAGATCAGGTGGTTGTTGTCCAGCCGCGAAGCAACAACAAGTCCCAAGGAAACGGGAAGGCGAAAACCGCATCGCCGGCCGGAAACGGAAAGCCAGCATCATGGGTCAAGTTTCACTTGACCAAGGCGGAATACAAGTGGCGCGGCCGCTACGGCTGCTGCTATTGGTGCAACAACACCAAGCATAAGACCTCCCAATGCCCTAATCAAGGCAAGGAGGATGTTCGGCCTCGTATCAACTCGGAAAACTGAGTTGCGCAGGAGGTGAGGCGACTCCACCTCTCACTCCGCCAGATTCGGCCGCCTTGCTAGCGACCTCCTACACATCTGGGGAGGATGTGAATGTCGCAAGTCCTCGGTACACTTACGAGGACTATGCTGTCCACTTGGTCCCACCGTTGGACCAACCACTCCACGTGCAATAATCTACCGCATGCACGGTTTCATCACCATCGGCAACCGATTCGGCAGCTTCGCCGCCATCTATCGCTGGGGATTTGACAACATGGTCAAGACTTGAAGAGCTCGACCCGTTGACGTTTGCGGACTTCCAATGGATGCCCCTTCCCCGGTCCGGTCGATTGCCGAAACCGCATTGCAACGTGCTCATGGCACAATTGCGGGATTACTTGCACACTGCAGTACCAACTCCTTGATGGACGCCGGAGTAGAGATTTTCGACCTTCACGCCTACATTGCGAAGATCGACCGCGAGTTCAAGACACAACGGTACGACGACATCGACGCACCATTGTTATATATACACATTCAGATCGGAGAGGCGACCTGCAATGCTTTGATCGATTGCGGAGCATCTCGCAACTACATGAGCCAGAACTTGATGGTACACGTCGGCCTTGGCCCACGTGTCTGGAGGAAGTCCCAGCCTACGCAAGTCACGTTGGCAGACGGTCACACGCACAAGTCAATTGACCGGTGCATAGATGACGTCCCCGCGTACTTTGCCCCGCATGCAAGCGAGGCGGTGTCCTTCGATATTTTGGACACCAAATTCGACATGATCTTGGGCATGTCATGGCTGCGAAGCGAGGATCACTCGGTGAACTTCTACCGCCGCACCGTTCACGTCCGTGATCGGAACGGAGTACTAGTCTCATGCACGGTAGCTCCTCCTCACCCTTCGATCAGCTGCCATGTGGTGTTCGCCGCAAGCTTGCGAGCTTCCATCATCAGAGACGACATCGAGGAGATGGGGGTGTGTTTTCTCCACGCCCTCCCGCCCCACGACGCTTCATCGACGGACTCATCTTCGGACCCACGCATCACCGAACTTCCTGACGCCTACGGCGACGTGTTCGAAAGCCCGCACGGAGTAGTACCGGATCGGCCCATCCGCCACGAGATCATCCTCAAGGACGGGGCCGTACCTCCGCGCGGTTACATCTACCGAATGAGCGAGGAAGAGTCAAGTGTGCTACGGGCACAACTCGATGACCTTCTGGAGAAAGGCTGGATTCGGCCTAGCTCATCGCCATACGGTGCTCCCGTTCTCTTCGTCTGGAAGAAGAATAATGATTTGCGGTTGTGCATCGATTATCGCAAGCTCAACGCGCAAACGATCAGAAACGTCGGCCCTCTTCCACGCATCGACGACCTTCTTGAACGGCTGGGCGGCGCCAAGTTCTTCTCCAAGCTTGACCTCAAGTCGGGATATCACCAACTCGAGATTCGGCAGAAGGACCGCTACAAGACCGTGTTTAAGACGCGATATGGGCATTTCGAATGGCTGGTTATGCCATTTGGTCTTACGAATGCCCCGACCACTTTCCAAGCGGCCATGACAACGGAGTTCCGACACATGCTGGATCGATTCGTACTTATCTACTTCCTGGTGTACAACCGGAGTTTGGACGAGCATGTGGAACACCTGCGCACCGTTTTTGGAGCGGCTATGACAAACCAAGTACAAAGCCAACCGCGACAAATGCGAGTTTGCGTGGCAGGAGCTGGAGTACTTGGGACATTATGTGACGCCGCAAGGCATCCGTCCGCTTGCGGACAAGATCGAGGTCCTCCGAGTATGGCCCGAGCCCACCAACGCCACGGACGTTCGTTCATTCATGGGGTTGGCGGGCTACTATCAGCGATTTATCACCCGATACTCAAGGATTGTTGCACCTATGACGAGATTACAATCGCCAAAGGTGCCATTCGTATTCGATGACGACGCACGCCGGTCATTCCAAACATTTAAGACGACCATGCTAATGGCACCCGTCCTTAGCATCTATGACCCGACCCTGCCTATGAGAGTGACAACTGGCGCTTCCAGCTATGGCATTGGGGCAGTCTTGGAACAACACGACGGCAACGACTGACACCCTGTGGAGTATTTCAGCCACAAAGTGTCTCCCATCAATCCGCTTGATGATGCAAGGAAGAAGGAGCTGCTTGCGTTCGTGATGACTCTCAAGCGATGGCGACACTTCCTCCTTGGGCGTCGTAGGTTCACATGGGTGACGGACAACAACCCATTGACCTACTACAAGACGCAGGATACGGTGAGCAACACGATCAGACGATGGATGTACTTCATCGACCAATTTGACCTCACACCGAAACATTTCCCCGGCCTCTCCAATCGTGCAGCAGATGCACTCTCGCGAAGACCTGATCTTTGCGCTATGACACATCATGCATTCGCATTCGACGAGGAACTCCAGCAACACTTCATCCGGGGCTATGAGTCGGATCCGGACTTCGCCATGTTGTATGCGCAACTATCTTCGGATCACCCGCAGGCTAGCCACTATCGCATTGCCGACAGGTACTTGCACCTCCACTCGAGAGGCAAGGACTTATTGTGTGTCCCATGAGACCGTCGTCTTTGGACTCGCCTTCTCGGGCAGTACCATGACTCGCGACTCGCCGGCCATTTCGGAGTCAACCGCACTATTGCACGGCTTCGACAACGATTCCGATGGTCCGACCTCATTACCGATGTCACTTGGTATTGCGACTCTTACGAAGTTCGCCGACGAAGCAAGCCCCGCAATCGCAATCCCTACGGTGAGTTGCGCCCGATGCCTATCCCACGGGAACCCGACCTCTCCATTACCATGGATGTCACCGGACCGTTTCCCCTCGATCGCCTCGGGCACGACGACATCCTCACGGTTGTGGGTCGTTTGAGTAAGTATGCGCGTTTTCTCCCTTGCTAGTATTACTTCACGGCTCCCGAGCTGGCACGCCTCTTGCACACCGGTTGGATTTGCGGCCACGGTGTACCGGAAGACATAATCATCGACCGCGACACTCGCTTCATGTCGACATTTTGGACTGCTCTCATACAGGAGTCCGGCACGAAGATGAAACCAAGTTCGGCTTGACATCCACAGATGGACGGGCAAACGGAGCGGGTACATCAAACCGCTCAAATGATGCTTCGTACGCTCATCCGTCCGGACCAGAAAGATTGGGTTGACCGCCTCCCCAACATCGAGTTCGCCTACAACACTTCGGTGCACCCGACGATCGGCGTGACTCCATTCGAGTTGCACCACGGTGGACGGAAAGGCCGTATCTTCGCCGACCTTCTTCTCCCACGACCAGTCGACATCGATGCCGCTTGCTCTCCCGCTTCCGTGTGGAAGTACAGGGAATTGTTGGCTCAAGCCCGCGCGAATATGCAAAAGGCTCAAGTCCGCATGCAGCAGCAAGCCAACAGGCGTCGTGTGCCATGTCCCATCTGCGCCGGTGATCTAGTTTGGGTCTCCGCGGAAGAGTTTGCACTGGAACAGGATGTTTCACGCAAACTGCTTCCCAAGTAGTTTGGACCATGGCCCGTAACATCAGCCGCGGACGATGAGCCCGATGACCCTTCATTTGTGATCAACATCCCCCCGCATTTGATGGTCTATCCAGTCTTTCACGCCTCGAAGCTGGCAACATATATACCTCTAAGAGCGACGACTTCCCGGACCGACGATCGCAGGACCCTCTATCTATGGATGGTCATCAGGAAGTTGACCGCGTCATCACGGATCGCAAGTACGACAGTAAGCCTCGACAGTACAAAGTTACATTCAAAGCATGCGATCCCGACGACACTCGGTGGATTTCAGGAACAGATTTGAAAGCATCCGCACCGCTGATCTACGCTCACTACGAGCGACAAAGGTTAGCTCAGGGACCTTCACAACCTGCCCCTCCCACCCGGACTGTGGTCCCTCCCTCAGACAGACAACTTCTCCCTCGCAGGTAAGCTCGGTCTCTTAAGGAGGGGGGGGTGTGGCATACTGCATAGCCACACGGGCCTGCAGGGCCCGCCCCGCATTCTCAGCCTAAAAGCCTAGAAATAAGGGCTTACAGGCCCCATGTCGTTTCAGCCTGAAAACT